GTAAACAGCATGATCTTTGTAATCGATACATTGTCATTCATATCAATCATATTTACCGCTGCCTAGTGCCCGGTGCTCTGACGTATCAGGTGTCGCGGGAGGTGGCAGTGGGTGTCGGGCGGCGGCACCCGAATTTCTGTGACAAATAACTACAACGTTGACGAAAATAATCAACGCATATGTATTCATTTCTCATAAAACCGAAACAAGAAGGTCGGAGCGGAAGTAGAGCAGCGCGCCAAAGGAGAGAACACACACATACAGTGAGTGAGAGCGAATGAAAGAGGGAAGCGAAGGTACCTGTTATCGGGGCAGCAAGAGATCCCCAGCAGGATCGAACTAAAAGAAAAAAGATAATTACAGCAGCTAATAAGCGAGAGAGGCAGAGTGATGTGCATAATAAACAAACTACAGCAGCATAACGGAATCCACAGAATGCAACGATGATGGGTGTGGAGGGGGAGGGGGAAGAGAGAAGTGTATTTGTGTTTTTATACAAGGTGACGCCAGCAGCGACGTTTTCTCTCTCGTGGTGGGCTTTTGTTTTCGCTCTCTCGGCTTTTGTCGGTTTTACTCGTTTTTCTCTCCTCTCTATCTCAGCTGTCGCATTTCCAGCTTATTTTGCAAGGGGTGTTAGCACAAGGAGGTGGCGCTTGGCAACATGCCAGCAACATGCGAGTACTGTGCCATATGTTGCTGGATGCTCCCTTGTTGTCCCAACACACCCCGTTCTGAAGTTTATGGGAGAGAATGAATTTGAAGAAACATGGAATGAATGAGATTTTAATACCCTTGGATTTCATTTTTTTCGAATAATCAGTTTATTCTCTAGGAATCCCGATCATGAATATTACTATTACTAAATGTGAGATGATTATACTAAATGTGAGATGATGATGATTATAGAAAAAAAGCTGGGAAAATATATTGTCTGGTGTAAAACCTTTAAGATTTCAGATAGGGTACCAGAAACTTCCACAGTAAACCATTTATCTATAACTAAAACCGGTTTGCAAGCAACACGGTCTGCCAGCAACATGCAAGTCGGACCGGGCAACATTTGCGCCCATTGAAATCTGTGACGTAGCTATGGTATCTGAAGAGACGAGTATAACCGCCGACCACTTAGAAAATGAAACAACAGAAAAATATCGAAAGCCCGACGAAGCACAACAGAGACAACGCAGCGTCAAAAACACGAAAAACGTTGAGAAAATTGCCGTGCAGCTGAAGCTGAACCAACAAAAATAACAAAAAGAAGAAAAATTTGCACACACAAATACATACAGATAGACAGACTGTGGGATACAGAAGAGAGGGGTGCAGAGCAGAGTAACAATTAAAAGTAAAGCGAATTGGAGCAGCGTAACCGGGGGAGGGGAAAAGCAAGACAAAGGCCGCACAGCGATAGCAGCAACAGCAGCAAAGCAGCAGAGGGCCAAAGAAGCCAGAATATCATATCGAAGGGGGAAAAAAGCGCGGAAAAGTGCATTTTACACAAATTCATACATATACACACATTTTTCCCCCGAGTGAAAGTTCGGCGCGCACCGACAACGCCCCCCGCCCTGCCTGGAATGAACCGCTCCAACAGTTTTGTCAGCTCCCTGAAGTGGTGGCCCCTGCAGGGCCACAACAGCCAGGCGACACCAGCAGCAGCGGCAGCTGCAGCAGCGCCACCCACCAGCAACGGTGGCTACTCACAGTCGGCGCCCAGCTCCCCGATCTCTAATTGGCCACCGGCGCTGCAGCAGCAGCCGAAAGCCGGTGGCGGCGTGGTGAGCGCCACCTTTGGCAGCAGCGTTGCCGTGCAAAAACTGCGCGAATCCAAGTGGTTCAAGCCCGAGGAACAGCGTATCTTCTGCGCCGTCGTCGAATGTGGCTTCATTGTGGAGGTGCGCAGCAGTGCGGCTGCAGAGGCAGCGGCTGCGGCAGCCGCCGCCGCAGCAGCCGCAGCTGCCAGCGATATTGATTCCCTGGACATGGACTGTCCGCCCCTCGGCCTGGGCCTGGCCCCAGGCCTGATGATACCCCGCAATGGCAGCAGCAGCATCAGTTTCCTGGAGACCCAAGACGAGAACGAGACACCAGTGGCGTCCTGGTACGGCATTGTCCTATGCAAAGTGGCCAAAGGTGAGTTTTGCATATCACCCCAAGTCTCCAAACTGTAGGAAACGTTTAGATAACTGCAGACATCAAGGCAATTACGCTAATCGCTGGACTTTAAGTCGAATTTGCGGGATTCTGCCATTCTAAAATGTCATTCAATAAACAAACAAACGCAGAAGCACACGTACACATGAAAAAGCACACAGACGCCTCTATGTGTTCGCATACAGGCATAAGTTCGGCCTGCCTGGCTTTTTTTTATCTAATCGAAAATCCAGCAAGTGCGCGGTCGCAGAGCAGCAGCGCAAGACGTCAGCTTTGCACGGACCATTCACAATAGTGCGCCGACGCCTGCCCGAAAACTCAAAAATTTTCTGCGTGCGCATATGCACGCACACGAAAACAACAAAAGCAAAGGCAAACAAAGCGTGAGCAGGAGGCGGCTGACTTGTGTCTTTCTAAAAACTCCCAAGCACGTCATGTGCTCCATGTCACGCATACCACTGCATACCGTCGTATGCTAACCATGGGTAGAAAGAGGCGCTCGGGCACAGTGAAGACTCGACTGGGTTTTCAATACTGCTTTCTTAACTTTTCTTATAATGCTAAACGAAAATCTAATATATTTATTGAAAGAGACTCTGAGTACATAGTACTCCGTACAATGAGTACAAACCCATTGGTTCTTTAGTGGAGACTTCACTGTTCGCCCGTCCGCCTGGGTGAAGTGGATGTTGTGGTGAGCTTTTTTCATTTCACCACGCGCCCACACAGCAGCAACGACAGCAGCAGGCTGTTGTGCTGCATCTCGTGTGCGTGCGAGCCGGCCCGGCCAATAACCCAACCCACCACGTGCGGCAATCACTCATCCATACATGGTCATGCTGTGTGTGTGTGTGTTCATATGTATGTATGTACATGCCAGGGCATAAATAAATGCATGCGTAGAATTGATAAGGGGATTTGGAAATGCATTTCGTATACCCGGCACCCGCAGAACAGTAGGATATTTTTGTGTTATGGGTATTAACATATTCGATTTTAACTATGTACATACACATATATTACATTTGAGAAGCCATAATGCCAAGGTGAAAAAAAACGTGCTTAGAGGCTACATTACAGTTCTCAGTGCCTAGACAATCAATAAAACGTTGCAGTTGTCTTTATTTGTGCTCTAATTGTTATCCATTCCACCTGTTAACACCCCACTGATTATCCTGCCACCCCGACCCGCAAATATTACTCGTGCTTGGCTGCAGATTACAACGCGCGCCATATGTATACCCAGAAATGTCTGCCACCAAAGAAATGCGCATGCGTGCTTATCAAATGATATTTACAATATTTAGTCCCATGTAATCACGTACGTCAAACACTCCACCCTCTGCCAAATTGCGCCCGCACTGCACGGCAATCGATGGGCATTGGATTAAAGGCAATTGCTTGAACATTCAAGAATGAAATGCATTCGAACATTTCGTTGTGTACGGGTTGCTTTCTAGTAACAGGTGGTACCTATTTAGGGTATATAATTTGTACAGCCACATGAGCTCATTACAAATTCAACACATTTAATTGTAGCCTCCAGGGCAGGCCCACTTACTGTCTCTGGCTAATGGAATGTACTCGCAAATTACTAGTGTTATTATATGGGGAGAAAAAACAAAACAAGTGCATTTGCCATTCAGAGCCACCCACCCAAAGCTATTAAACAAATTTTAAATGCCTGCGAATTGGTTGAACATGGCACAAAAAAAAGAAGCAAGCTAGAGAGTATAGAACAAATATACAACTGGAGGGAAGATAAGTAGAAGCAAAAGGAGATGGAAAAAGCAGCAGTTGGGGTGTAAAATACTAAGCAGTGCTAACTATTTTATATAAAGTTAATTTGTGAATGTTATAACAAATTGCGCAACACTCGAAATCACACACAACGGTAACAAAACGAGAAGGGACGTCTGAGACGCTTCTTACGCGTCACAACTTTTATACCCGGCACTCAGGACTACATCTGCATCTTAGGGGATATTTATTAAATTTTAGATTTTTTCTTCATCTGTCATCTACATCTCCAGCACTTCTTACACCAACACGCTCCTTTAGCTCGCCGCCCTTCCCTAGACCCACACATTGCAGACTCGAGGCAGAGGCAGCGCCCGCACAAAAAAAAAAAAAATATAAGCTGCGGGATGGGGTGGGTTAAAAGTAGGAAGAGGCAGCGGCAGGGGGAGGGCAGAGGCAGGGGCCGAGTGAAGCAGAAGCAGAGTGTGAATGAGAGAATGTAAATCGTTGCGTACGCAAGCCCACGGCTAGGTTTCAGTCCGAAGTCAAACAGTCAGAGACAGTCATGTGTTGATTTTCAATTCGCGGCCATGAAGAACAAATCTCGTTGCAATGGGATGGGAGCACTTGGAAGTAAAATTAATGCTGAAAATCAAATAGAACAGCTGCTAGGTCTGATTATACAGTACATTTAATATGTGTTGGCTGATTGGTTACTATGGTTGTACGTAAAACTCACATATGGGTGCATTTTCTCATGTTTAAAAATGCAAAAAGTGCATTTATCTTAGCATTTCAAGTGAATCTTCTATATATGTATGCACATATTTAATTAGAACTCACAGCGAATGCACTTTCTCGTTTTTCCCCCCTTTACATACACTTTCTTGAACAGCGCGAGTGAATTTACTTGAATTTTAAATCAAAATCAATTGAAATAATAACTGAATTGCAGTTGTTGCACAGTTTGGCGTTCGGGTGGGTCACCTGTTCTCTCAATTGAAATTCATGGAGAAGCGCACACAGAAAACTAATTGTTTATTTCTTTGCGATTACAGATAATAAGCCGAAGCCTGATTCCATTGAGATATTTTCTGTGAAAATACGTGAGAATGGTACATACAAACTGATCAAGATGTCACTGGCCGATATCTGGAGCCATGGCTGGGAGTTGAGGATCAATAACTTTGCTGACAAGGAGAAGATGCCGCATATCGAGAAGGATATACGCAATCAGGTGAGCAGCATTCAAGAGAAAAAACACACGTTTTATGCCTATAACCAACATACAGTTCCAAGTTTCACTTTCGCAATCGAATTGGGACTCCCCGAAGTATGCTACCAAAAAAAAGAGCTCGAGAGATTTCAGTGAGAAAGTCGAATTAGGAACTTCCGAAATAGTATTCCCATTGATAACTAATGCATTCTCCATTTACACCCGCCCCGCCCCCCGCTGTGTAGATATCGCTGGCACGCAAGGCAAAACAGAGTCTGTGGAACAACAACAAGCATTTTGTGTACTGGTGCCGGTACGGTAGCCGCCAGCAGGATGTCCGCAAGCGACAGGTAACAACGAGTGCTAATCATGTGCTGCTCCATCTGATTAACTGATAAGCGGAGCAGCCAGCGGATCCATCCCTGCAAAAGAGAGAAGGAAAACACACATACACAAACACATCCACACAGAAACATACACGCAAAAGCAAAAAAAAAAAGAAAACATTTACCCAACAAAAATCCTTCCTACCAACAACCCGACCTCCACCACCTCCACATATGCATTGATTGTGGTTGCAACAGAGGATACCCAACGACACACACACACACAAACACAGGACTGACTAACGGCATACAGAAGAGAGAACCAGAACCAGAACCAGAACCGATAACAGAAGAATCATCGCTGCTAACTCATTTACGCTTTTGGAATCGGGGCCACAAATGTAACCAAAAATATGTACTATATCTATCACAGTAGAGCCCTCTCGATCGCCCACGCTCCACGCTAATCAACCAAACCAAACCACCCCACCCCACTCCCACATCCAAACTCCGTCCTTCATTTGGCAGCGCATCATTTGTTGCTGGCGCCTGTTTTAAATATGTATTAATTTTTTTAATGTGGCAGAAACTCTTGTGTGTGCGTGCGCCTACAGCCTTATAATACTCCACCACACAAAAATACACACTCCCACCTTCTTGTGCTTCTGCCTTTGCTCTGTGTACCCGCTGTACATACGTACGTGTTATATTCTTTGAATACCGTGAACAAATCCAAAAAATCTATATGTATCTTGCAGATGTCGGAGTGCGTGAAATGGGGCAGCGTTGGCATGAATGCGGGCATGTTGCTGGTGCTAAATAATAGACAGAAATGCTATTCCCACTCAAAGTAACCGCCCGTTTGCGCCCCCCACCCCCTCTACTCCACTCATAATGAAAACAAACAAAAAAGAAACACAAGTATTCAAAGTAAATTCCGATGATAAGAGATGGCCCCGGCCTCCAAAAAGCAGCAAACAAAATTTGCAAATATGTGTAAAGATTTTAAGTGCAATTCAGATCAGGGTAAGCACACACACACGCAAACATACACATACATAGAAGAAAGGCCCCCATGGGAGAAAGAGTGTAGTATGTTCATTTGGCAGTATTAAAATACCATGAAAAATACCAGAGACACACATTAAACGAGACACAACTGTACGCCAACCAAACACACAATCCCCCCTCAAACAAAACTGTTGCAAACTAAACTGTCCATCAAGGAGACACCAAAATCGTTAACAAAAAAAACAAATAAATACTTTTGTATATTGGGCAAACACAAACACATACACAGAAAGAGAGAGAGAGACACACACACACTGTGAAATTCGAAAAGACTTATTAACTATTTGTTTTTTTTTGTCATTATTTTTTGTTTTCTTGTGATTATTATTATTATATTATATTACTATATTATATTTATATACTACATTGTGAATGGCAAGCATATGTGTTTTCTTTGTTATTTAAGCATTTTAAAAATAAGCGCAAAAAAAAAAAGAAAGCATAGGATTAGCAGGATTAAGACATTCGAAATGTTTCGTTATGTATTTAATTACGGGATACCCCACCCCCCAGACGACTCGGAAATACGGAAATGGTAAACGAACAGGAGACAAAAATACGATAAAACTAAAAAAAACATACACAAAAAAAACAAAACGTACATTTATGGATAAATAAGAGTAAAGATAAAAAAACATAGTTTATAAGATATATATACATAAATATATATATATAGTATGTAGGGGTAACATACATTAATTATTAATAAATTAATCGTTTTTAAGCAATTTATAATATATATTTATATACCAAGTAGTAATCTTGTATACATTTCGACAATGTGAAACAATTTAAGAATATGAAACGTTTATAAAATGCTTTATATTGATATTACTATTAAATGTTTACCAACCAACCGATGCAACCAACACACGAAAAACAAACGAGCAGAAGCATTTGGAGCTCTACTGCTCAATACCCTATACAAAATATCGTATACGTTTCAGAAGGAGGGCAACAACAACACTCACCTCACGCAACAGCCCAAAGAGTACATCCGTGGAGAGGGATCTCTCGTGGGCCTCGTCCATGATGATGGCCGCATAGCTATCGAGATCCGGATCACGCAGACTCTCGCGCAACAATATGCCGTCCGTCATGTACTTGATGACCGTTCGCTCCGATGTGCAGTCCTCGAATCGTATGGCATAGCCCACATCTTCGCCTGCAGTTAAATATTTGATTTACTAACAAGATCAGTGGCAGAGATATGTATGTAATTGTTTTCTTACCCAACTGTGTGTCCATCTCATCAGAGACACGCTTGGCCACCGACATGGCAGCCACACGACGAGGCTGTGTGCACCCAATCATGCCCAGCTGGCTGTAACCATCCTCGTGTAGGTATTGGGTTAGCTGTGTGGTCTTGCCGCTGCCCGTCTCCCCGACAATGATGATCACCGAGTTCTCTCGGATCACATTGAGCAGTTCCTGCCGGGAGGCAAACACGGGCAGGAAGCGGCGCTGTTCCGAGATGGTTTTCTTGCGGGAGAAGTCGCTCTTGCCGCCAGAATCCTGGTCCCGCATATGGTCAGCAAACTTTTGATCTTTGCGATAATCGGCCGTGTCGTTGTCCTTGTCGTAGCGTGAGTCCTCATCGTCCTGGGGCCGCTGCACTCCCATGATGTTGCCCAGCTTTGTGCCGCCCAGCTCCCAGTGTTTCTTCTGGGCCTTGCGCCGCTCCTTTTGCTCCCGATAGGTCCGCACCAGAGCACTGCCCTTGCGCGCCAGCAGCGCCATGTCCGAGGTGGGGTCCTTGACGGGCACCACCGGCTCCGGCTGCTTGGTGAACACAATACGGCCGTCGAGGAAGGGCGGAATAATGTGATGCACCAGCAGATGGACTCGCTCCAGGGCCTCCTCATCGAAATCATCGTTCACATGGATGCTGGTGACCACACCGGAGGTAAGCATCCGATTCCTCTCCCACAGCTCGTTGTCCCGATTGTTCTGTCGCTGCTGGGCGCTGAGGCGTTTCGTTCGCTTCTGTTCCAGCTGCTCTTCCCGCTTGCGGAAGTACTCGGAATTGGGGCCCACGAAGGGGTTGTTCTCGTCGTCGTAGCCCTCGTCAATGTTGTACCATTCGCGGTCCAAGCGGCGCTGTTCCTCCTCCCAGAGGTCGCGCGACTCCGGGTCATCGGACCATGGTGTGGCACCGGTGCGCTTCCGGTCATTGGCCCACTGATTGTAGCGATGCGCTGGCGTCGGTCGGACCGAGTCATCCTGCCGGTTGTTCCGGCGACTGCGATTGCTGCTGCCACTCCGTACCGACCAATCGCCGCCGCTGCCATGTCGTCGTGGTGTTGGCATATCCCAATCGGAATTACGCTGTCCACCGCCGCCCTCGCCGTCGTCATCGTCCCAGGAGCTGTTGGATATACCACCGCCGCCTGGAGTTCCTGGCTCCCTGGGCGTGTGGACACTCCGCTCGGACATGGAGCGGTCACGATCGCGACTGCGATGTCGGTCTCTATCTCTGTCGCGATCTCTGTCACGATGACGACGTCGGTCGTGGTCTCCCCGCTCTCTATCGCGCTCTCTCCTCCTTTCTCCTCGACCCTCAGACGAGGATGAGGCCGTTGATGCATTGGCGGCTCTGCCCCTCGCCTTGTCGCGCTGAATGTGCTCCCTCAGCCGCTCGCGAGCCTTCTCCGACACCCCGCCAGTGTGCGATGGCGTGTCATCTTTATGCTCCCGCAACTGCCGGCTCAACTTTTCAAAGCTCTTCGTGTCCGGTTTCTTGAAGGCAAACTCACTGATTCCGGGCGTGGAGCCAGTGGGCGTGCTGGAGCCAGTGTCATCGTATTCGCTATCCTTGAACGATATCAGGCGATCGCCTCGCTCCTTTTCGGCGCGTCGCTTGGCGGCCAACTTGTCCAGGCCGAGCAGTGAGCCTTGGGGGACTTTGAAACTTCCTGTTGGGTCAGCGCCATCTCTAGACTTCTTTATTACCAGGCCGCCACGCCCCTCCTGACCGGCAGTGCCCTCCAGTCGATGCACGCCGGCATCGTCGTCGGACATGCCTACTTATATGTCCTTCCTGTTTTTTTCGACTCCTGGTTACCGCAAAGCTACGGATTTGCGTTGGCGTTGTTCACTCACAGCTGATTTCATGGTGCGTGCTGTCACGGCGCTCAAATTTTGTCTTACAAAACTATCGATGGTAATGAACCACAGTCTGGCAGGGCTGGCATTTAAATGTGATTCACTTATTGCATTAAAACCACAATATGTTACAAGAAACTCACTTGTTCCACGCAGTTTGGACAGTAATCATTTAGCTAACTTTTGCTAACGTAGGCTAAAATAAAACCGCAGTCGATATTGGGCTAAGTATCGATAAAACATTACATCGATAGCACATGTTTCACCTTTTCCCGTCAATTCAGCATTTATTTTTTTGAAATTAAATTCGACTAAGAAGGTATCATTATTCATAGAGTAAAAAAATGACCGAAAAGTTTAGCAAAATGCAGCAGCAATTCCTCTGCTGTTATCCAGTCAATAAAATGTCCTGGTCGGTACGTATCTAGCTGTGAACGCAGCACCAACACCTGTTGCATATTTAACAACAGTTTGTAAACACGCGCAGTCGGTAAAACTACCCATGGACTGGGATGAGCAAAAGGCACTCATTGCAGCCACCTGTGGCCATCCACTCAATGAGCGATATCCGGTGCGTGCCAGCTACCAGGAGGCATTCGTAAAGCGACTGATGCAGCTGCTTAAGGATCACGAGGAGCTGCACGACGACCTATTCAGCAGCCTCACTTCGCAGAAGTGCGAACAACAAGACAAGGACTTTGCATACAAGCACTACCTACTACTGCAGCCAGATGCCCATATCACGCTGCGTGAGTCCATTAGCTTTGTGAACGAGGGCACCACCGGCCTCTGCACTTGGGAGGCTGCCCTGGCCCTGGCCGACTATCTCATGCAGCACAGCGATGTGGTGAAGGGCAAGAATATTGTGGAGCTGGGCGCTGGCACCGGTCTGATAGGAATACTCCTCAAACTGCCAGAACTGGGCTTCGATGCTGGCCAAATCCTTCTCACCGATGGCAGTGCCTCCTGTGTGCAGCTGATGCGCGATAATGTGGCCTTGAATTTCCCAAAGACGCCCAAGGAAGCCACACCCCAGTGCGAACAGCTGCGCTGGGATGAGGTACAAGACTTTCCCTGGCAGCAATACGCCAAAACGGATCTCGTACTCGCTGCGGATGTCATCTATGATGATTCGCAGTTCGATGCCCTTCTGGATGCCCTCGATCATTTGTTCACGAGTCGTGGCAATTGCTTGGAAATGCTGCTAGCCAGCACCGTGCGCAATGTAGACACGCTGCACAAGTTCATGGAGCAGTTAAGTGAGTTTTTCGCCCCACCTCTGTCTATGTGCATAGCTAAAATGTAACTTATTTTTACAGCCAACCGCGAGTACAAGGTGACGCCCTGTGCGAATGTGTCGGCCTGCGTGAGTCACTTTTGTCGCGATCACACCGCTGCCGTACAGATTATCTCCATTAAACGCTAGTTTTAGGTAGTAAAAAAATATATATTATAAACACTTGACACATAAAACAAACAAACTATTGCCCAAGACCCTCTTAATTGCTCAGCCTGGCTGTGTTTGCCTCAGAGAATACGAAGTGTTGGTTCGTCTTTTGTTTTGTTTTCTGCATTTTCTTTAAATACTGAGTACTTAAGCGTACAAATGTAGGATGCTGATTGAACACATTATTGGCTGATTGTGGGTATGGTGCCATCGTTTAGCCATCGCACATTGAGCTGCTCGATTTGATGCTTCATGAATATGATGCCATAGACTTCGTATTGGATGTCCAGCAGTTTGGTGCGATGTGTTCGTGGCACCTTCATGCCCACGACCAGGGCCAGCAGGGAGCTGATGATCATAAAAACAAATCCCTGGGCCATCAGGGTGCTCTTGTCGGTGGCATAGAAATACGAGTTCTTAGCATCGGCCACAAAATAATAGTACACAATGCTGGTGCATATCAATTTGAGGACATACGACAAGCAGATGACGCACTCTGTGAACCTCAAATGGGTTACCTCCAGCAGGGCGATCTGTAGACTGGAATAGGACATACCAAAGAGGACGAGCAGTACCCAGAGGGACCATCTAGACTCGGTGGAGCTGCAGATGATCATGGCCAGGAGTGTGAAGAAAACCAGCGTCACCTGAGAGGTTACAAAGTTCACCTTCACCGAGATGAAGAACAGACAGATGAGGGACAGGCAGCTGCCGCCAAAAATCACCCAGAACATGGCATCGATGTCGCTCAGCTGGGTCAACCTGATGGCCGGATTCAGGGCAAACCAATAGATGAAATACACAAACAGCGCATACTGTATGGCCTCGGTGAAAAGAAGCAGCAGCATTACGTTCCATTGCTGGTTCTTCGTCACATAGAAGAACTGCAGCCGCTTGATAACGTCTGAGCGCGGCTCAAAGATGCTGCCATTCCCGTTGGCGATCCTCAGATCGTTGTCCATGCTGTTCACCAGGTCGACGGTGCCCACAAAGTGCAGCACCTTGATGCCCACTAGGATTGCAAGCGTGGCAGCGGCAATGCTCAGATACGTGCCAGCAAAATTCAAATAAATTCCGTCGATCAGCTGCTCAGTGGTGGCGGTTTGTCCTGCAAACGCCTTTAGATTTCGGCTGTATGCGGATCCAATCAGGCTCACGGCCGTGGCAATGCCCATCAGATAGCAGCTGCAGGAGGCGGACATCACGAGGGAGCGGCTGCTCTTCGAGCTGATGGTATGCAGAAAGCTGTAGCCTGCTATGAAGGTCATGCTGTGCGCCAAGTACGCTATGTAGGCGCCCACATGGTCTGCAAGTTAGAGTTGGAAAGACATTTTTGATGCGGTTTCAGTGCCGATGAGGATTTCCCCTTACCAAAACCATCAGCAAAGTAGAAGCAACTGGCCACCAGATTTAAAATGCCAGCGGCCAGTAGCAGCCACGCCTGCCAGTAAACAATGCACTTCTTCACGTACTTAATGGTCAGCATTGTGAGGGCCGCGCCCAGGGCCCAGCAGGCGCCCAAGATCATAGGACCATAGTTGATGAGGCCAGCCTGCAGGTTGCGCTCGGCCACCAGTGAGCAGATCGTATAGCCGAAGATCAAGCCACATGGCAGGAAGCTCAAGCAAACTAAAGAAAAAGTTGTATATAATTAAGGATGGACGATCTATGTACGTATGTACATATGTATGTACCACCTACCCTCCCCTGCGGGAGAGAGGCGGGACTCGCACTCACCCACAAAACTGGGCGCGTATTTAAAGAACTTCAGCAGCAGTTTCCCCCAAACGTGTGCCATGTTTGACGAACAATTTCAATCGAAACGACCCAGGCGAAGAGACGAGAGAGGAGCTTAAAGCATTTTGGTCTGGACTGTGGAGATGCCCTCAATTATGGCCAAACAGACGCTGCCGCAAGTCCAAAGAGGCTACAAATTGAACTGCGACGGCAAAGGCGACGACGACGATGGCAACGAGACAATGATAAGATAAGCCAATTGGCCGAGCGAGCAGCCGGCCTGATGGATGTACATATGTATATATGTATGTTTTGTGGAGTGACTAATGTCGCATTGGAGTAGTTGCCTCTTTGGCCAGATAAACAGATAAGCCGCTTTGTAGCTGCGTTGTGGATTTACTTTTCAGTTAGGCCTGAAATTTCCGGTGTACATATGTACATATTCAATATGTACATATATTGCACAGTTTATGGTCAAAGATTTACTGTCAAACCTTTCGTGGATGGCATTTAAATTTTCTTTTTGTCAATCATCAAAAATTGACCACAAAATAACGGTGCCAGCCAGTGTTAAGAAACGTGTGCCATTACTCATCCTCATTTGCAAGGCGCATGGAGGTAGGGTGTCGTATCCTATTCTGTAGGGTTTACTGTACGCGGGTTTAAGTATAGCCACTCATTCATACATATGGACGTACATATGTAAATTTATAGGGTACTAAATCACCTGATAGGGCAATCGAAAGCCTGCCGATAAAGCTTTTGAAAATTGATTATTTTCTATGTACATACATATGCACATTTACGAAGTGTATTGTGGGTGAGTTGGAGACTCGAGGAGGCAGTGCTAATAGTTTGTTTACTTTAGAGTAAAGAGAGAGAGAGAGTGAGAGAGAGCGCTGCTGTCGTGAGAACAGGGTAGATAGCACCTGCAATCTTGCATTCCTAGACATTTCTGTGCATCTATGTACATATGTATGTATGTTTTTATTAACAGAGATATGCACATTGTGTAAGCTGCACATATTATCATTTCGATCATATGGGGTATCGAACAAACTCGCTCTCACTCAACTAAGAGAAATATTAAATACGCACAACAAGGTTCAACACTGGTGAGGCGAGTATCTCGTTTTTACCGCGGAAAGTAGAAAATTAGCTTATTTCGTGAAATAGAGCCTAAACTCGCTTATAATAAGCAAAAACCCGATCACCCGTGGTTACCCCACATCCTGATAAAGACGGCGGGACAAAAGTGGCAGTAGATCCGCATTTTTACCGGATAACCTTGCCTCTCGGCAATGGCGGCCCAGCAAAGCCAGTAACACGGAAGCTAGTGCAGCGTAATCCGGAACCATGGCTGGCATAGGAAGGACCAGGATGGGCACGGAGAAGGCCACAGGATCAAGGATCCTAGTGGAGACGCGAAAAAAGAGGGAAGGAGACCGGGCGGGAAAAACAACAGCTACGACGTTAAAAACCACCTTGAAAGAGAAAGAGACGAAAAACAAAACTACCAAAACAATTACAAGTGAGAAAGGGAAAGCGGATGTGGATGTTTGTCAGACGTCCGTGAGTACAAGATCAACAACGACAACTAACAACAACAACAACAAAAACAACAACAACAAAAACGTCAACAACAAATACTACGAGGGCCACAAAGGCCCTTTTGTAGTGTATATAGATAAACTAAGCGATAATAATTCCAGGATCGCAATTAACCAGTTCGAGCTATCCGAACTTTTGATAAAACTGGGACTTGGCGGTATAGAGGAGGTCGCGAGGGTAGGCTATGGCAGGTGCAAGATTTTATGTAGGTCGGCTGACGGTGCAAACAAACTTGTGGAAAACAGTGCCTTCGCCGCCCACGGGTACTCTCCCCGGATTTTGCGGCACTTTGTGCAAAGGGCGGGTCTAATCTTTGGGATCCCTGGCCACCACTCGGAGGAGCAGCTCTCGGAGCTGATCATCTCGGACGTCCCCATAGAGGGAATACAACGGATTTCCAGAACAGACAGAACCTCGGGGGATAGGGTACCCACCGGCAGGGTCAAACTATGGTTTAGAGGGGAGCAGCTGCCCAAGGAAATCAAGTTCCTATACACCCAGGTAGCAGTAAAACCTTTCGTCCAGTTTAGCCAATGCTTCAAGCTAAGGCAGCTGCCAACATGGCAGAATGGAGGAACTCTATCAACGCAGATAGCCCTCAGTTAAGTGAAAAATTCGTGAGAACAACGTCCGGGGTCTCATCTGTGGCCCAGGAAAAGCTTAACGCACTGGGATCCATGCTTACAGCGTTCCTGGTGGAACCCATTGGTGGAACATTTCCAAGGGGGAATTGGTGAAGAAGTTTTTCCAACAGATCTTGGAGTATGTGTATGACTCCTCCAATGCTGAACTCGACCCAGGTTTTGCAAATTGTGCAAGGGGTGGAAGCGGGATACTCTAACAAAAAACAATGAAGATTCTACAACTAAACATTCAAAGTCTGACTTACAACAACAACAAACAGCTCCTCAATATGTTTCTAATAAACAACGAAATAGACATTGCAATCCTTTCGGAGATCTGGGTTGTAAATAATGCGGACTGGAGTATCTTAGATTACAACTTCATCGGCAAGCCCAGAGAAGACGGCTACGGCGGAGTAGGAATCTATATTAGAAAGAAAATTAGATTTAGCATTCTGAAAATAGACTGTGATCTGGAGATCGTAGGTATTAAGACCCTGAAACTAAACCAAAAACAACCTCAACATTTTCAGCGCATACACTTTCCCAATTCAAATCGGGCATTAAAAAGGTGTTCGAGCTTGCGGAGTCCCTAGACTACCCTTCAGTCGTAGGAGGAGATTTCAACGCCAAGTCTTCCAACTGGGGAAACCCTTCCAGTGACCGCAAGGGTCGCAGCATCGAGAATGCTACTCGTGAGGCAGACAGATAAAATCTGTCTTAACGACGGATCTCCAACGTTTTCCAGGAACCCTTCCCAATTCTCTGTTCTTGACCTCACCTTTTCTAATCACAGGGTCGGTAGTACATGAGTAAAACTGTAACAAGTTACATATCTCGAGGTGGCGATTTCCACCTTGCAAAGGCGGGCGGCCAAATAATCCCCCTCTACCCAAGGGTAGAGCGGTAACATAAAAACTCAAACAAAAAAAAAAAAATATGCACTATACTATCGAGTATAACATTAGGGATGTAATAGAATACAATTTGCTCCTTATTAACTCGTTCTGTTGCAGAGATTGCAGATGAATGTACCGGAACCCATAAAGATTCATTCCTGTTTACTGGTCCTTCTGATCATTATTTTGATCTTTATGTTTTATTGGGATATAGATAGAGCTTTTTGTGTGTACTGTGGGTGCATTTATCTTCACAGTATATTGGGAGAATAGATAAAAACAGAAGCTTCAATATATCAAATATCGAATGTATTAATCAGAATTGGACGACTATATGCTATACAGGCATGGGCCATTGGAACGATAGATCATATCAACATTTCTAACTATAATACATTTATCATACCAATGTACAAATGCGATTTTTGCTGCTTTAAGAGTTTCTTAAAGAACATATATTTGTATCCTATAAATTGATAAATATAGCAGATGAGTTGATTAAATAATTTGTAAACGCTTAAATCATTTCATTTCAACGACGAAAATTATTGCGAAATTATTCTACTCGTGTTTGTGACGTCATTAGCTAAGAAAAGAGAGCACCAAAAAAGCGCAATTGCTGCAAGGACGAGCTTAAGCGCGAGAGAGAGTACTTTCTCGCTCTCTCTCAATCTGTGTGCTTCGTTGCGTTTCTGTTTCTGCGCTTGTGCTCTCTACCCGGGCACCGACCACCCACTCGTCCATGCCCCCTGCCCACACATTGCGAGTGCGGCCGACGCTCCGCGTTTTCCTTGTAGCTTTGGGAGCACACGGGCACGGCACCCCAATGTCTTGGCACGGCCTTATCCCCGGCATTCACTTCCGGAATTTTGCTGCCGAAGACAACAACAAACCTACAGTGAGAGCGGCAGGCACACTGCACTTGCAAGTGAGACGCTGAGAGAACCACAGCTACTGCCATTGAACCACAGACCCTGCCCCCACCATCCGCTCAAACTTCAAATCGGTAGGTGAGAAATGCTGTAGACATTGTGCTTCCTGCTCGGCTGGGCGCCCGCTGGCCATGGAACGGTAGCTGCGGACGAGAACGACTAGATACGGGACGGCAGTGTCATGTTTGTGATGAGCATTTGGGGCACCAGCCTGAGCCTGAGTAGCCGCAGCCTGGCCATTGCTCTGGTGCTTTGCTTGACGCTGTTGTACTTCTCCTACAGCTTCAATGCCTGCCTGCTGGCCAGCATCAGTCGCAGCCTTCAGCAGGTGAGAGTCCATCCCCGTCCCCGTCCCGGTCCCCCCTCACCACTCCTCTTAAATCTTTTCCAACCATTGCCCGCCCACCCACAGAGCAACTTACGCAACCTGCTGTCACTGACGTCGACGCCCCGCAACGAAAGTAGCAGCAGCAGCAACGATTCCGCCACACCCGCTGCTACTCCATCGGCCAACACCACTGGGTCTACTGGCACTGGCAGCACCAGCAATGTCCCAGCCGCTGTGGGGATTGCCAGCGGTTCGGATGGCTCGCCCAAGTATCAGCTGCTGCGGCAGCCGGGCTTGCGTCCGTCCCGCCACCTGCCCGACACGCTCATCATTGGCGTGAAGAAGAGCGGAACGCGAGCACTGCTGGAGTTCATTCGACTGCATCCGGATGTGCGGGCGGCCGGCTCCGAGGTGCACTTCTTCGATAGGCACTATCAGCGTGGCCTGCGCTGGTACCGCCACCACATGCCGTACACCATCGAGGGTCAGATCACCATGGAGAAGACTCCGAGCTATTTTGTGACGAAGGAGGTGCCCCAGCGGGTCTATCATATGAACACGGCCACCAAGTGAGTTATCTGCCTCGTGCCATATGTGGCTCTCGCTCTCTCTTATCCTCCCCCCCCTCCCCGACAGACTGCTGATTGTGGTGCGAGATCCGGTGACGCGTGCCATCTCGGACTACACCCAGGCGGCCAGCAAGAAGGCGGACATGAAGCGGTTCGAGCAGCTGGCCTTTGTCAATGGCAGCTACTCGGTGGTGGACACCAACTGGGGGCCCGTCAAGATTGGTGTGTACTCGCGCTACCTGGAGCGCTGGCTCCTCTACTTTCCTCTCTCCCAGCTGCTCTTCATCAGCGGCGAGCGTCTGATCATGGATCCCGCCTACGAGATCGGACGCGTGCAGGACTTTC